CAATCTGCGAGGCGGAGCCTTGTAAAAATAGCCGTGTTTACCGAGCCTAGTCAGTTGCCACACCGCGGCGAGACAGCCAGGTGTGAATCACACATCACAACTAAATCATTTGTGTAAATCACTGAGCTAATATCCCAACATTGTAAAGGAATTCAATAACATTTTACAAGTATTAATACCCCCGCCACATCAAACCTGCAGAAGCTTCCATTTCCTGATTGGATTTTCACTAAAATATATCCTTAAAAGTTTCATATTAATTCTCTATTTTTAACATTAGTGAAACGAGTATTTAGGTTTACGCTACATGACGCTTAAAAATTGATCAAAATATGTTTAAACAAGCAAAATACATCAGTTTACTTACTCTCCATAAAAATAACATAAGAATTTTTAATTTACAGTTTTTTTTTTTATGTTCTCCTTAACCATTAAGGATATAAATAGCAATGCTTTAAAAAATAAACTACATTATTAGTTTTTTTAAGCTCTGCAGTATGATTTAGAATGATATTGCATAATTTAATGTCTTAGGGTCAAAAATGGGAAAACACATTTTTACCCCCACAAAACCCTCAATAAATCCTGTGTCCAATAGTTAGTTTGCAAACTTGTTTGAATAAATGTTGGATTACAAGTTTATAACAATTTTTCATTAAAATCGGATAATTTTTGCTTGAGTTTTCGTCCTAACGGACTATTATGAATTTCCCTTTGGGGACCTCAAATAGCTTATTCCCTATAGGAAATTTGCAAAACCAAGAACTTTCAAATAAACTCAAATAAAAAGCATGGATAAAAGTAAGTAGTTTTGTAATAAAGATTAACATATTTTAATTGAGACACCAAAATAGCTGTTATGTAAATTATCGATTTCGGTACTTACGTATTATACTAACCACACCTAATAATTATAACCTTACCTAACCTAAGTGTGGTTAGGTTAGGAAGATTTTGTTATTTAAACTAATTAAAATCTTATTTTAAAGCCGATTTATCGGTCTTTCGGTATAATAGGTACCTCAAATTCTGTAAAGTAGAATTCGCCACCTGTTAACTGAGCAATATTGAAAAGACAACTTATGTTGTAACCTCTTATGTGTCACGTGGAATTTTCACAATTGCAAAAATTAATGGAGAAATTAGAACTTTTATTGTAGCAAACTCCTGAACTGAATGGCTTATTTATCTGTGTTCTTTGGCTACTTCTGGTCCATACGTATGGGATGCCAACTTCAGTATCCGAAGGCCAGTGGTTTAAGTCGACTTTCCAATTTTGAATTGGGTAGCATGTCAGTTGGTGAACACTATATTTATGACAGCACAATTTTGTTAACAATTTTACAACTGTTGAGTTCCAAGTCATTATACTGTCTTGGTCGCATTGCCCTATCTCAACAAAATATTTATTCCCTATTTTAAAATAACAGTGAATGTGTGTTTGATACGACTACCACATACTGATGAATTTCTTAGTAACGTTGCCACCATTATTTAAGAATTCAAAAGATACAATAGATGTGCATTGCGAGTGTCTGATGCTTAATGCAGCAATGTTTATAAGTCAGTAGATGGGATTTATGTAGACTGTATTGTATGTAGACTGAGATTATGTCAGTAGATGGCATAAACACATTTCATTTCATTTACAACGAAACAACTGTTAAATTTAACTTTTAAATTTTACTGTTGAGTTTTCCACTTGTTACGACCTTAGCAACACCCTACATCAAAATATTTATAAAAAACCAGGTAAGATGTTGTCCATTAGCTTTACCCGACCTACTTTTAGGCGTTTTTACTTCTATGAGCCGGCTGAAGTTGTGACTTCACTACGGGCTAAAATATTATCCTTGGTATTAAATTTCTGTATAGTAACTGTTGTTAAGGATTAAATCCATTTGTATCCTTATCACCTAAGCTAATTAAACATATGGGACTGCAGAAGTCAAACTAAGGGAGAATTTGAAAACTTAGCCTTTACCAAGAGCTACTCTCTCTGGAACAACCTACATTATGTTTTTAACAAAAATATTTTTCCTGCTCTTTTTCCTTTCAACAATGTTCTCTGTAACTGTCTCGACATGATCCTGATCTATATAATTAATACGCTACATGAAACTTTGTCGGTTGAACTCCTCCGCCATTTCTTAACCGATTTTATCCATTGACGTCTCATTGGAAAGAGCGTGTCGCGTAGATTTGCAAACTGGCCTTACATTTTTGAAAAAGTCCCTTGGACTCTGCCCCAGTGGCTTTGAAAGTTCCAATGTTATCCTTATGGAGAACATAATTGTTTACATTTTGATCAGCTGTAGGCCTATAATTTAATTGCTGTTATTTATTTTCAATTCAACAAAACGCTTTGGGTACATTTACTGATTTTGTTGAAATTAAATATTTACCACTTGAATTTACAATGTAAAATATCGAGGAAGCCTGGGCAATTTGATATATTTTACCTCCTATATAATGAAGAACACCTACAATATGAAGATGTTCACAAACAATGAACAAGGATGTTAGCCGAAGTGTTACTATTTTGTAGGAAACACGGACATAGCTTTATGATGATTGGCAAAATAAAACACTCTAAGGCAGAATTAAACTGGTACCGCAAGGAAATAAAACAAAATATATTTTTTTATAAAAGTCAAGTGATTTTAAAATAATATGACAACATCCAAGAAACCTTAATAAAACTTTCATTAAAGGATTTGCATTATCCACATTTAAGGGAAACAAAAACCAACTGAACAACATTAGACCTTTCAATTCTGGATTTTTCTCAGAAATATAACTTACGTAATAACAGTAACTAACCAAATTAATGCTAACCGAAGCAAATACAATTATTGTGATAGAGAGGTTACGCAGACAATCAGGCAGTTCTTAAGTAATGTCAACAAAATGTTATCGCCAAAAAAAAAATGACTGAAATTTGTAAACGTACTGGCGATAATGGGTAGTACCAAGCAGACTACATTATCACTGACGAAGATCAACATGGACAACCTAATGTGGCTTAAAGTGGAGAACATTTGTAGAATACATTAAAAAACCAGATCAGCTTTTGAAAAATGATAATATATTTACAAGAAATGTTGATTATATGGAACTGTTAGGTACGTAATCTATGAGTTGAGTCTTTTAAACTCATCGGAAATTATGCCTTTTATTAGTTTTTAATAGCTATTTACCTTACAAGTGTAGTAAGAGCGTTTTTACACCACGCAGGTGAATGTTGTGCAACGAGCGGAAGCGAGTTGCATAATTTACCGAAGTGATGTAAACACGCTCTTGCGTAACGTGAAGATTTTACCTGACCCGACAATATACAGGAGGTTACGAACAATATTTTTCATTATCCATTTCACTCATCTTCTAACAGTAACGTTCATTTACAAACAAAGGCTCGGTTAGGAAAATTCTTCAAAACATAACATAACATTCAAGCGCACAGCTGATTTCTAGCATTGAACGTCGTTGGCTCCATAGATATTTAGTTAAAAAAATAGTTATATTTTTTAAGTTAAGCACTCAATGTTATTTAAATGGCTTTCTTTACATCACCGAGTGAGTTTTTTACAACTTTACATCACTCGAGAAGTAAGGAAGTTGTATACATCACGCTTGGGATAGGGAAGTTTAACATGGAAGGTTAGGTAAATAAGTTTACTTCACTTCTTTGCAATTGCTCGATTTCGAGCAACATGTACACTAGTTTGATATTATTGTTGAATTTTGTTCTCTTCTTTTAATATTTCATGGGCTACTGGTAATACATTTGCATTTTTTAAATTATAGCAGAATGTTAATCTCGTCAAGAAGTTTTTTAAAAAAAGGTTTTGATATTAGTAAAAATGTAAACAAAAATCCGATAAGCTTTTATGATCTTATCTTGGTTAAAATCTGCTGAGAATTGGGTTAGTATGCAGGTTTGCAACAACTTGTATTCACTTTTAACAGGAAAATTGTATTCTGCACTGTTTATATATATCATCTGCAGATTTAAGATCCAAGCAGTTCAGTCTATACAGACCAAAATATAAAGGCTTACATAGTAGAATATCACCAGAAATCACTTTGACCCCCACCTCCTGTAAACCACACTTAAATTTTGAATTTTGTAGAACTCTGTCTTCTTGCACATCTACACCATACAGGGCCGCCAAATTTGATAGTTCTAGGCCGTATATGCTTTGAGATGTAAAGATCATCTGTTAGTCAGTGGTATTTGTCTTTTAGATTATGCATGTTTTTTAGTGTTATCGTAGACTAATATAACACATGTAAACTTCTCATCCCATTGTAAATTTTTAAGTTCGTTTTTACACTGGGCGCTAGTGACAAAATTTTATCTCTATTATGTTAGGGTTAATTTCCTGATTTGTGCTTAACTGTTTGGTTTAAAACTAGGGGACGAGTTATTGTTTTTGATTCAACCGTTTTATTTGGCAAAAAGAGATTTTAAATAACTGAAATAACAAGAAACAAATTGTAAACAAAACACGACCTCTACAGTGTACTATGGTATTATCTATGATGTTATCAAACTATCGCATAAACCACACAAATAGAGAAGAAACATAAACAGTAAAAGGGTTGATGAGAATCATATTAAAGATGCTAGTGAATCATTCAACAGTATTTTATATTTTTTACCCTACAAAGACCTTTCAAAAGGATATGTATGTTATGCAATATTATCACTAACTCATTAGCCATAACTTAACAACGTAATTGTAGCCGAGTCGCAATAACATAAAAATGAAGAAAACGCAAATAAAAATCTAAGATAAATTTGAAGATAATGATCTAACTCAATTAAAACAATTTTACAGCCCCTAAACTCTAGACAAAATGAGATTGTTTTGTCAAAATATTTGAACAACAAACGGAGGTAAGGAAGTCTACACAGTATTGTAATTTTAATATACAAAGATAGATGTTGCACTATTCACTACTACAGTAGAGAGGTGTAGGTAGAGTGTACTCACGTCTGTGTGTGGAGCTGCCTTGCCCAAAGTAGGCCAGTCGTCTGTGTCTGTGAAGTCACTGGCCTGTAACAAGTCACACGTTACATCATACGTTACACTGCAGCTCAAACTCTGCATTCAGCATGCATTTAGGCTTACAGTAACAGTAACAAGTGATAGGTGTATCAGAAACAGAATATTGATACATCACACTTTTTCCAATAATACACTACCACATTTCGTGTTAACATCTTCTGTCAAACTTGTGTAGGGTTACGTTAGGTTAGGTTGGGTTGGTTTAGGTTAGGTTTAACCAAGTCATAACCTTAAACTTCAATTGTACATTGTTATATACAAATTAAGTAGTGGTAGTGAATTAACGGAAAAGTATGAATAGTTCTAATTAATCAAAACTATTGGCAATCCAACAACACTGTGGAGTGGATAAGATTCTATGTAGCTAATGATCACTGATCAGCTTCTTTTCCTGCTTATGGTCTGATATCTTATCCCAGCTTAAATATACTTTCCTGAAATCATAGATCATAGACAAAAGCAATACCAGATCCTTTACCTGATATTTTAGTGGAAATCTGTAAAATTTTACGGCCCAAATAATTTCTCCACTTCTCCACGTCATTTTACAAAATTGGAAAATTCTACATAATAATATTATTAGATGTCACATTTCTATTCAATGCTATTGTTTCACTAAATGTCATACATTCAACACAGTATTCAACTGAAATAGTATGTCCAGATTAAGGTACAAAATTCAATAACTGTCCAAAATTGACCAGACACCTGTACAGTAAAGGAGTTGCACCCAACATTGATCTCTCAGGTCTAAACAGCCTATTTGTGGCATTTAGCTTGAATACTGGGAACATAAAATTCCTATTAAATTATATAAATTTTATAGTCCATGCTGAAAATAGTACAACAGAAGGCTTGTCAAATAGATGTAGAATAAATAACTATATTATAGGTGTGTTATCATGAATGTCATTAGTTACCACCACACTAGTGGTGTTCAACAAAAGAAGAAGTATACTTAGGAGGTATCAACCTTCAACTGTGTTTACACCAGTTTGCAACACTACAAAGAATGTTAGTTTTTTTATTGAAAACATGTTGATGTCCTCAACAGTTTCTCTGTGTTTACAACAGAAACTTTGATTTCCACATGAAGACGTTAAGATCAAAAAGTTGTTGTAAACACATGCTTACAGCAGTTTTTTTTTGCCACGTTGTGAACTAAAGTTCTCAACATTTTATTGTAAACTAGCAGAGCACCCGTCCTTCGTACGGGGATGGCATATAAGTTTAAAATGCTTATTGCAGTTATACTCAAGCTTTGCGTTTGCAATGGGGGAGGGCAAAGTTTGATATAATTTCCTTCTTTAAATTTACAGTATACTAATGGTATTACACATCTATTATAGCCATAATGTTCAATCACTTCACCTAAACAATAAATGGAAAATAAATTATTACGAATTCACAAAAAATCACAAATTATACATGACATCAAAAACATAAACATAACTGTTAACAATCCTACTTTGACAGTTCTCATTGTGTATCACAGTTTTTTGTTGCTGCTTAGTTCAAATTAGCAGTTTACATAAATGCAAACAAAATTATAGTGCTGCACCCTGTTGGAAAATCTTATAACTTTTTAATACTTTTGTATATCATAGAAACAACTTTTTTTAGTTGAGCCGACTAAGTTCTTTAATTCCCTTTAAATATGAATATTCATAAGGTAAACATGGGGAACTTTAGAGCCACTGGGACGGAGCCCAAAAGGATTTTTGAGATAAGAATATGCCTGTATGTTAATGGGGAATGTGAGCTATCATCAAGCCAAATTTCAGCCCAATCTGTCCAGTGGTTTATGTGTGATTGAACTTCAAACAAACAAACACACAAACTTTCACATTTATAATAACTCAGTAATTTCAAGCTATGTAAATTCAAGTAATGTTTAGGTACTAAAATAAACTTCATTCTCTCCTTACCACTTCCTAATATTAATTGGTAAACTAGCTAATCTCTAAACCTTTTCCAACATTTCATGAATCAGTTACAAGTCAACAAGAAGAACATGGAAACATAGTTTGTATAATATCCAAATCAAAACAACTAATCATAGAAAAACAGTTCATCTATTTTAAGGGCAGATTTCAAAGGGCAATTTTAAGGGAGAAGTTCTTTTGTCACGTAGTCCAACTATCCCTACAGATATGCCCTTTGAAACCAAACGTTTACAGTTTCCTGAGCGTCTTGCTTTTGCTATAACTATAAACAAATTTAAAGGGCAATCACTATAAGTGTGTGTAATTGACTTAAATCCATGTTTCTCACATGGACAACTTTATGTGGCCTGCTCTCGCATTGAAAACCCAAAAATAATCTATTTGTTTATGCACCAAACGGAAAACAAAAATTATTGTTTACAAAAAACACTTGATTAAATGTTTTGAAGCAAAAAAAAGGCGTTTTAATGTTTAGTGAAGTTTTACTGTTTAATAAAATAATAACTAATGAAATGTATTATAAAAAATAACAAAAAATTAAATGCTCTAAAAATGTAAAAGAATTCCAGAGATTCAATATGGAATGGTCAACTTTCTAGAAATCACAGTAACCTGATGTGGTGAGCTAGTCAGACAGTTTACACTGGAATTATTAACACCTGTATCTGTAGTCATTACATTTCACTCCACTGAACTAAATATAAATACCTCAAAACCTGATTTTACATTATTTTGTAATGGTGATGAGTAATTTAATTTGACACCACTTTAAGGGTAATAGTACCTAGTCCCTTCTGAAAAAGGATAGTTCCGCAGATTTTTATTTTGTTTAAAATTATAATACAACAATTGGAACTAAAGTAGGTAATGTATCTATCTAATTTATTATTACTGGTATTTAGTAATGATTTGCTAAAATGTACACAATAACGTAAATCATTTTCAAATCAATGTTGAATAACGTTTTATCAACGTCTGAGGGTGGGATCACTTACTTTTTGATTGTAGCGCCGCCTGTCTTTGGGTGCCCTCACTATCGTAGGCTGTGGCTGTGGCGATGTCGTCTGAGGTCCATTTTCTGAAACAAACCAATAGAAAATGTGTAAAATGTCGTACATCAGTCGAATCTGGCAGACAGTCAAAATTCTGATGATAACCTAGAGAGGGTCAGCAGGGAGATAAAGCCCAAAATAAAGTTAACAATACTGATATGAATATTTAAATGGCAAGTTAGTAATTAAAAGTTCAGCAAAACCCAACAAACCCAATCCTCAACAATAATTGTCTCATCACAGAATACTACAAAATCCGACAGTCCCAGTGTGTTTCCACATTTCTGCTGTGCAAGCTTTGGCAAAGCCTAACATTTTATTATTTCACAGGTTATGAAACAGATGAACAGATTTGAGGTAAGAGGCAGTTTGTTACAAACTTAATTCCCTGCATTGAGAAATTTAGTTGTGATTATTCAAGTGGCCTATTGAAATGCAAGTGTTATTGGGAAGAGGAAATTTTGAGCAGGACATTGAATTATCTGTAAATAAACATATTAGTTCGAACTATTTTAAATAAAGAAAATGTTTTTTTAGTATTTATAAATGTCACAGAAATAGATCTGAATGAATGGTATTAAATTCATCTAGTTATACCATTGACTGTTATACTAATGAGTGACGGATTGTTTATGTAATCCAAATATAAACAATAGTGCAATCTGCCTGCTAACTCAATTCAACATTGGTCTTTTACCTATTTTACCATTATCGCCTTTGACAGTAACACTAAAAAAGTTAAACTTTCCCTTAAACTCAGCAACATTCATTCAACAAGTGGTTACAACATGGTTAAGATACCAAGAGCTTCCCAATTCCCACGATGGCTGACTATTGTTGCTCTAATTACAAATAGCAGCTACGCCTCAATGGCTATGCTGTTACTCAACCAATGGCATGGGCATTCACAAAAATTTCTCAAAGGTGGATAAGCAAAATGTATGGATCAAAAACTTGGAATAGCAGTCAATAACTTAACAGCCAACATGAAAGTTCATAATCTTGCAAAGTTGAATAAATTTTCCAACTTTAACAAACTTAGGTAGGCTAAATGTTTTTAACTGAACAAATGAGTTTGTCTTTAGAATTTTAGTTTTAACATTATTTGATTTTACAAACGAACTATATGTTCATTAGCAAACTTAATCCAGTTTTGTAATCGATTTACATACAATACAGTAGTCTCCCTCTTATCGGGACACCTTTTAACCGGACATCGGTTTAACTGGACTTCACTCGGCAGAAATTACATCTCTTTAACCGGACAATTTTTATCACCACATCGGTTTAACCGGACTAGATCAGCAGGAAGTGGGCAGTACCATTGACTATAGTATTTTTTTTTTTTTTTTTTTTTAAAGAGGTTGGCGGCCTCTTTTAACCTTGCATTTGCCCGTCCACATAGACTAAGCGCCCGTGCGTGGATCGTTTACAGCAAAGCAAGGAGTGAGCCGGTACAGTACAAAGGTGAACTGTACTGATAAAATGTTATCGGCAGTGACCAGGATCCTGGGCCCGAAGTCCGCGACGCTACCGACTGAGCCACCGACTCACTAAAACTTGTTAAACTTAAAATGTTAAAAATGTTAAATGTTAAACTTGTGATAAATGGTGGTACTGAAACAACTGTTCTCGTGGGAAAGATTTGAGCCCAGTGATCATGAGTCTAAATACAATGCTCACCTAAACTTAAGTAAAATATTTGGGTTAGTTTTCGAGTGTATGCATCTTAACGAGTTTTTGGGACGTCGGTTTAACCGGAAAACCCGTTATCCGGACTGGCCTCGGTCCTGAGGAGTCCGGATAAGAGAGGTAGTCTACTGTACTTTATTTTCTTTTTTTAGTACTTCAGTTATTGAGAAAGGTCAACAAATTAAAAAAGTGATATTTATAAAACCAGTATAAAGGTCCAATTCCTATCCTGCGACTGTTACGACTCTAGTGGCGCGAGGCTGAAATAAATTACTGCTTTAATGCAAAGTAAATGCATCCGATTCCTATAGAGCGTCTACAGCCGCGCGGCTAGAGCCGTCGCGACTGGACTGCTCCGTGAGCAGTTCAGTCGCTTCAGTCGCGCGGCTGTAACGAATTTATAGTTTAACAAACGGAGTTTGAGGTGTTAACCTTCATAGATGATGGAACTGGTTCGTCACCACCCATGCTTCAACTCCAAAAACCCCCAATACTTTAAAAAGATGTCTCTGAATGAGAAAATACTCTTAAATCCCTCCGTACCATGAACAATGGATTAGGTTGTTCATTGTTTTTTTACCATTCACATTAATATTTTCTTTTCCTCCTCTTCTCCAAGTAATATATTCGCTGCCAACTGTGCTTATTCCATGACGGCCAAGAGTGCAATTGCACTAGTCACTAGTCGTGGGAGTCGCAGGAGTCGCGGCATAGGAATTAAGACAAGCGTCTCGAGCCGTACGGCTCTAAACGCAGTCTCAACAGTCAGTCGCAGGATAGAAATTGGACCTTAAGAGTGAAACCTGACAGTAGGCAACAGCTGAAATCCCTTCATAGGTAGGCCAACCTGGTTGGCAAATAGGGTACAGTACTATCTAGAATATTGATAGATAACAATATGTAAACAAGAGGAAACTTACAGTTCATTGCCTCTAGGAATATTACTTTACATGCATTTCAGCTCTTTAAATCAATTGTGTTATACTGCTTTCATTCTACACAGCGTCATGAGTCAAACACTTAACTCTTAAATTATATTTCCGTATTTAAAAAAATCTTAAATACAATTACAAATAATAAATAAATAAATAAATAAAAATGTCTTTATTCAGCGTTTCTTTGGTACACCAGCTTTTCAGAACAACTTTCGTCACTATGCTAAACATCTTATTCAACAATCAATTATACATAACAATTTGAAATTTTTACAAAACAATTCAACATATCAATGTGGTCATTATACACTTAGACAATAATTACAATTTTTTTAAAAAGATATCTTTAAGTTTTTCTTTAAATGTTTTGCTAGATGCAACAACCTTCAGGCCGCCGGGTAGACCATTGTACAACGAGGGACCAAAATATGAGAAGCTCTTCCTCCCAAGCTCTAGAGAAACTCTTGGGAGGTGAAGCCTCCCACCATGACGTGTCCTTCGCTGGGAAACCTCATCGCGAAGAGAAAGCCTCTCGCGTAAATAGTCGGGCTCACAAAGTGACAACACTTGGTGGGTCATGCAGCACGTCAACAACCTGCACATGGCTTCAACGGGAAGCAGACTAGCTACTTCTCGAAAGGGAGAGACTTGATCAAATTTGTTCAAACAGAAAATGAACCGGATTGTGGAGTTTTGCAGACGTTGCAAACGATACATGTCTTCCCGAGAAATGCTATTGCCATATGCAGGGAAGCAGTAGTAAAATACTGACAGTATTAGTGACTGCACAAGCTGAAGTTATGCAGTCTCAGGCAACAAGCCTCTGAACCTATACAAACCTCTTAGTCTCCCTAAGGCCCAATTCACACCGAACGGACGTCGGGCGGAGACGTGGCACGGACGTGGCGAGGACATATGTCCGTTCCTCGCCTCCCCATGTAAACAAATTGGTCAATGCACACACAAGTGACGTGGCGCGGGCGGCCGCCCTCCCGCCACCGCCACGTCGCTTCGGCGTCCCTCGTGGCGTATCGGAAGTGGCATGTCCGTAGCGCGCCCGTTATTCGGACTGCAAATATTGTACTATACTTACCAAACTTCTTGTGTATAGTGTGCTTGTACTTCAACCTTGTTGTGTAGAGTTGTTTTTGTGTGTAGATTGTAAGTTATTTCTTCAATATGTGAGACGACATTGAATTTAATATCAAATTTTGTGAGGAAGTAGAACAATTCCCTTGTTTGTACTAATTAAGTTGACAGAAATTAACTAACACCATTGACATTAATAGAAATAAGCAAAAACCAAAGTGTCTAGTCTACATACAGGTTGTCTCGCCACTGTACCGTCCCTTCACCGTCCCTTCGGTGTGCATTGAACACGTCACGTCACTGCCATGTCTGTGCCTCGTCCGTGCCACGTCTCCGCCCGACGTCCGTTCGGAGTGAATTGGGCCTAAGGCTCGCTGGGAAACAAAGGTGACATGACCGGAGAAATTCAGGCATCTGTCAATCACGACGCCAAGAGTCTTTGCCTTCTCACACACTACCAGACTCCGGCCGTCGAGACAGACAGACACTCCATCATCTCTCAAGGTCTGCACTTTGTCCAGAGGCGCTGTATGTAAGACAGTGCACTTATCGGGGTTCAGTTTGAGCCCATTGGCAAATGACCACTTGGAGATACTCTTCAGGTCAGCGTTGAGTTTGTCAATTGCTTCTTTCATGAAAACAGGCTCAAAAGACAAGTGCAACTGAGAATCGTCTGCATACAAATGTGCCGTGGAGTTTTTTACACAGCTAGGGAAGTCAGCTGTGTAAAGTGTGTAGAGAACAGGGCCCAAGCAGCTGCCTTGAGGAACACCCCATTGTTTGACGAGGGGTTCTGATGTCTCGTTTCCAAGTCTAGTAACCTGCAGTCGGTCGATGAGTAACGATCGAATCCAGGTAGTGATTTCATAGCTAAATCCAAAATAGTGCATTTTAGCAATCAGCATGTCATGATCCATTGAGTCGAATGCCTTAGAGTAGTCAAGCATAACCAGTGAACTGTATCTACCTTTATCTTTAGCATCAATCATATCACTAAAGAGATTAGTCAATGCAGTAGTATAATATATTTTTTTTTCTATAATATATTTTAATCAATATTTATCAGACTGATTATCAGCTTTGATCATAAGTTTTTGTATTAAATGGCCTACTTGTAACAAAAAAATTCAGAATTTGATACAAATTTGTTTATGTTGTTTGATTTTAATTCCATGAACTCGGTTGTCACCCTAAGTAACCAAAACAATGATTGAAACAGGCTACCTACTTGAAACAGATATTTTGTAAAATTCAACAAGCACATTTGAACATTTTACATGTTGTATAACATAGTGTTTCTAATAATTATA